GTCAAATTTTGAAAAATCACCAATTTGGCGCTTTTTTGCGTGTTGTGTTTTGGAGTAGCAACCCTACCACAACACGCAACCCCGGAGCGCGAAATTCAAGATGGCGGAAGGAAAATCATTTAAAAATAGCATTTTAAAGTTTTGAAACTGAAAATCGCTGCAAAAATTAGGCATTTAAAAATGGAAATAATTTCACTTACCTTTAAAAAATGCTGCTTTTTCCAAAATTTATGATGACGATGAGTTCCCTACTGAAATTATACTAGTGTGCGACTGCATATTTCTGAGAGCACCTTCCAAAACATTTTTATTTTTGCATCACCAACAAAACGTGCATATATATATATATATATATATATATATATATATATCCATATTACTCAATTCAAACCAAAACCCTTTCCTTGTACTCCTAGACACATGATGAGTATCCTCTTTCACACTCGACAGTATTCTGCAGTACCATTCAAAAACCATCTTGTACTTTTCTTACCCGTTCTTTCTCTCAATTCCATACTTTTTATACATTTCGGACATGCATTCAAGGATCCAATCAAACCTTCTTTCATTCACCATTCTAAAACAGCTTTCTTTCCAATATTAATCGTAATTTTTTATGCATTCATTCAGATTCTCTCAAATAGCATCGCTGGATATCGTGGCAATCTGTGAAAATTTATGCCTAGAAAAAGAGTAATATTACCTGTAAAAATGATTCCACAACGAAAAAACGAATCGAAAGAAAACATCTGGTCTAACGGAATTTCCAGAGCAAGCGAAGCTAAGGCCGTTAAGAAAGGTTTCTAAAGCCGTTAAAAAGAAAATGAGCTGCGCAAGCGCATTAATAATTATCTTTAATTTTTAAAGTAATAAAAGCTTTCTGCTCATGCGCGAGAAATACCGTTGGAGAATTAAACTATTAAAATAAAAAAAAAATGAATTACGCATGCGCTAACTTGCCGCGATTTCGTGAAATTTGTTAAAATTAAAGAAATATACTGCGCATATGCAAAATTTTGCCAAAAAACGACTTCTTCAATGGAAAACAAATTCAGAAGGGTTACCAGGTTTAGCGCATTTATCGATTTGGCGAGAAAACACTTGGCACGAGAGGCTGGCCGGTTCGACAAATCAACCGAGTCTTTTAAGTTCAGATTGGTGTTGTTCAAAAACGTTAAAAGATGTATGATGATAATTCACTCTTTTGATTATATTTTCTTTTAATGTTCCGAAAAAGCGCAAGATTACTTCTCTGCATTCAGTTTTAAGCCTAGTTCTTGTGCCTTACATATCTTGAAGACCATAATGGAATTAACTACCGTCAGAGGCTTTGTACGCTATAATTAATTATCTTGCAGATGTTCTCCTACCGGTCAGTATGCAAGTTCTGCATCCAGATTTAGTGCCTCATAAAACATCAGAATCGTTTTGGAATGCACTTTTGGAATGGGGCGAGGTTTCTTTTTCGCGACCCATATTTGCCTGTCCGATTCAGCTGCAAGTTGAGCTTGAAGACAGAGCCCCCGCACATCTTGAGTATCATCAGAGAATGTACACTACCGGGACTTCAATTCCTTCAAGTTTGTCATCATCTCGTTTTGCAATAACCTTACGTTGTTGGACCTGTGTTGTGCTTTCAAAATAAATCCCAGTCAAATTTTTAATCAGGTCAACAGCCAAAACCCAGCCTAATATTTCCAAGAAAGAAACGAGATCGACTTGAATATAATCTGCAATAACGCTGAAAATCAAGTAAAGACTTGTCTCCAGAATATGAAGAACCACCATGGTCGAAACGATCACTACAGGGGTAAAAATAGCAATTATAATACGAAGAAAATTCGCTCAAAACGCAAAAACACGCACAATTCGCAAAAGACTTTAAAATGAGCTAAAGAAAAAAAATATTCATTGTTTTATATTTAGTCTGTTGTCAAATTTTATTATTTAGTTTTATTATTCTCGATCATTGTTGCGTTGGAAATCTGTAAGTATATTGTTGTAATGAATCAAAAGACTCAGTTGTTGTATACTCACATATATATGAGAGATAATATGTAATTTTATATAAAATACTAAAAGTAAAGTATATTTAGTATTTCTATATTAAAAGCAGAGTTCTCGATTTATTAAAAATATTCTCTAAAAATTTATTGTGGTAAAATACAAAATGACCGACGAATTTTTTTAATAAGAACATTTTAGGTATTTCAAACATAATAACCCTAACCATACACCTGCAAAGTTTGTATAAATTTAGAACAGAAATACTGATTGTTCACATTATTTTAATTTAGTTTAATTTGAAATACTGTGATGGGATGGTAACGTGTCATTCGACCAGAAGCCAGTACTAACCACAATTTAAATAGTACACCATTTGTTACCCGCCCGCTTCGTCTGGTATTTAAGGATGTTGTACGACTATGTTCTTTTTTTAAAATTATTGATATCTGAGTCCTAACATAAAGCTTTCGATTGTACAGAAAAAAAATTCGTATAGATCTCACCTCTTGATTTAATAAGGACAGAGCTTGAATTTCTAAAGTGGAAGTATATTTATTTTTTACGCTCCCGTAACTCCCACTCTATCGAAGTCACTTTTCTCAAAAACTAATTTTAGCGGATTTCTGCTCAATAAAAGGAAGATCCTTCCTAAATTTCAGATCTGTAGGCTATAAGTTCAAAGACGAGAATTTCTTAAAAATCTATAGTGCTTCGTAGCCCCCGAAATCCCCTTTTTTAATTAATTTATTTGAAAACTCCTCATGCTCCACATTGCATAACATGAGGCTTACAGACGTTAGTGGTAACACAATTATATCATTTAAAACAAATTTGAAAAAAAAAAAGATTTAAGACAAGAACATAAAATAAAAAGGAAGAGTAGAAATACACAAATATAAACAAAGGTACCAATCAAACTTTAAAAATCTATACAGTTAACAAATTTTCTTAAGACATTTAGGCTTTGAGTACAATTGACCAACAAAGATAAAACAGGTGGCCAGGAAATGCCTAAACATTTAAACTTCTTTTTAAAATTCTCTTTTTTACAGAAATATAGTTTACAATACAACAATATATGTTCCACAGTTTCAGCATCCTGATCACAAGAACAAATATCACTCCCAAATGAATTAAATCTAGATAAATAGCTCTTAAAATTTCAATGTCCTGAAATCTCTTTTGGAAGTAGGTTTTTACAAAACTCGTTTTTCACTGATCTCTACTCAATAAAGAAAATAGGCATAACAAATTTCAAATGTGTAGGTCTAAAAATTTTTTTTGTATCGAAACGCCATCATAACTCCTTTCAGAAGATGATTTGTATAAAACGCATTTTTAACAGATTTCTACTCAACAAAAGAAATATGCTTACTAAATTTAAAGTCTGTAGGTCTGATTGTTCAAAAATGTGAGTTTTTTACCTATACGACCTTTTAACTCTCCTTGGGAGTTGATTTTTTCAAAACCTGTCCTTAAGAGGAATCTCTACTCAACAAAACAAACATGCAGACCAAATTCTAAGTGTATAGATCTTATACTTCAAAAACGGGAAAGTTTATCCAGATTGCCCCTCCCCCTATGCCCCTTAAGAGTTGATATCCGCATCATTTACTGGATCTCTATTTAACAAAAGAAACATGTTTACCAAATTCAAATCTTTAGGTCAAATAGTTCCGGAGATTTCGTGATGAGTGGCTTTCTCTATATATACAAAAATTAATTTGGAAATTTCATATCAGGATAATATGTAAATAACTAAAAATATTGTTTTTAAAGTTCGTTATTTCTTATCAGCAGAAAATACATGAATAATTAGTTAATAATACGCAAAAAGCAATAACTGAGTATTTCAGAACTTGATATGATGTATTTTAATAAATGTCGTGGAACTTTTTATATGTCTATACTTTATTTTACAATAATCATTCTCTAATGCAATCTTTTTCTCGTTTTGAAATCATTTTAAAAGCAAAATTATTTTTGAAATGTTTATAATGGTGAAATGAAATTAGGTTTAATTAATTTTTGGAATCTCTTTTCTTATATATATGATTCCTTAAAATTAAGTTTAAAAATAATGATACAAAATTAAAGAATAAAAACAAATATGATAACATTAATTATTTTCGAATCATTAAATGAAAATTATAAATATTATATAAAATAAATATTTCTACAAAACCGGATATAAATACTATTTTGATATTCTAATTCAGTTTATGTTTGGCTCAGAAGCCTAAAACAATATCACAGGAATTACTAGATATTATTATGAATTATATTTTTGTATAAAAAATCTAAGTACATTGTTTTTAGTTTCAAACTGTGTGTTTATGCAAGCGTGATGAAATAGTTTTAGCACTTAAAACCAAGGTATCCGACCATGTGCCATGCATCTTTCTTAAAAAAATTGAGATATGATAATCTTTTTTGGGTTTGTGGATTTCTGTAAATTATGAGAAAAAAGATAAAAGTGTACAGAACTTTTTTTAAATATCAAAATGAGAAAAAAATGCTGAAAATATACTTAAACCCGCCTCACTCTGAATAAAATGTTTATATGTTCGAGTTTTTAAATTTTCTAACATTTATATGTTACACAGCCATTTATTTTTGAAACAATTTTAAAGATATAAGAAATATTAAATTTTTTACAAAATAGGACATTTTATGTTAAACACTATACAAAATCCCTTAAAAACCAGTAAAAAAGAAAAAAAAAAGTAAGTCAATTCCTACTTAGGCCAACAAAGAAAATTTTCATTTTAGTTACTTTTTATTAAATGATTATAATTAATATATAAATATCTATATACATATGACACAGAAACACAGTATTAAGAGGCAAAATAGAAAGCAATTTTCCGTTTTCCTTTCTATATATGGTGTTGAACAACTATTTTCGTTTGTTGCTATTTATTCATTAATTAAATTTAATTATACCAATAAAATATTATAGTAAAATGAAATCACATTCTCAGATATTAGGACATCTCAGGTGAGATTTGAACCCACATCCTTCGGATTAGAAGTCCAACGTGCTACACATTGCACTACAGGGACACAACGAGCCATTTTCCTTTTTATATATGGTGTTGGACTATTATCTTGTTACTATTTATTCATCAATTAATGAATTAATATTTGAAAAACTGTATTAACATCAAGTGTCATTCATTACAAGGTTTAAAAAATGTATTTGAACTTGAGTGGATGAATAAAAGTATTTTATTAACGATTGAAAATTTGAAGATATATATATATACCGGGTGGCCATAATTAAACGACCCTACTTTAAAATTGTCTACAGACGAAACTATTGTTCAGAAAGTTGCAAAATTCTGTGTCCGACATAAAGAAGGGATGGGAATTTGTTTGAGCGAATAAAAAAAAAAAAGAAGTTCAAAATTTCGCCACTAGAGGGCGCTTTTGAATGAATGCCACATTTATTACCGGTTTTCTATTTGTATTTTATCGCTTTTTTATCCACAGGACACAGTAACACAAGAACTGATACTCATTAAAAAACACAATCTCTAAAATGAACTGCAAACTTTAATTAAACTTCGATGACTAATTTTCAAAGGATTGACCCGAAGGAAGACGAAAATATGCAAATTTTTTCGACGTCACACAGCAACTGTTATAAAAGCAATAAACTTTCACGGAAGATTAGTTTATTTTCAGTGTGCTCGAGCATCCAACGTGCAGGCTAGTACAAGTGTTCGCCGTGTGGCAAAAGCATTGGATCTGCCTCGTTCAACTGATCAGAAGATCATGCGAAACATCCTACGTTACTATCCATACAAGCTTCAACTTGTGCAGGAATTGCTTCCACATGATTTCGAGAATCGACATCTGTTGTCACTGCAGTTTCTTGCTCGTTTGGAAGTTGATCCAGAATGGCCTTGGAATATCCTCTGGACAGACGAAGCACACTTTCATTTGGACGGTTCGGTGAATTCTCACAACTACCGAATTTGAGAAACATACAATCCACATTCCACCTTACAAGTTCCGCTACACTCACTAAAAGTAACGGTGTGGTGTGGGGTTTCCGCGTCTTTTATTCTTGGCCCGTATTTTTCAAGGAATTAGGTGCTGGAGGTCCAGTAACATGTTCTATCACTAAACAGCGATATGCATCGTTATTACGGAATGAAATTATTCCGGAACTGCAAGCACGTCAGTGCCTTTCACGCATAATTTTTATGCAAGATGGAGCTCCTACACACATTACACGTTGTGTTAAGGACGTTCTCAAACATCACTTCACAGAAGAACGTGTGATCAGCCGACAATTTCGTCATCTATGGCCTCCCCGATCGCCTGACTTCAATCCATGCGATTTTTGGCTTTGGGGCCAATAACTTTACCTGATCTTAAAGACAGTATTTCACGACATGTACTTAACATTTCCCAGAACGCACTGCGGTCAACGGAGGGAAATGCTATCTTACGATTTCAAATAGTAGCTGAACATGATGGTCATCATGTTGAGCATTTATTATTGTAACAAAATTTATAAACTGTTATAAATGTATGTATGCTAAGTATTAATGTATGCTAAATATAATTTCTATCAAAAACGCCCTCTAGTGGCGAAATTGTGAATTAATTTTTTTATTCGCTCAAACAAATTCCCATCCCTTCTTTATGTCGTACACGGAATTTTAAAACTTTCTGAACAATAGTTTCGTCTGTACACAATTTTGAAGTAGGGTCGTTTAATTATGGACACCCGGTATATATACATGTATAAAGAGATTTGTGGACTAATAGTAGGAATTTAAAAAGCTTTTTAATACTCTGTATATAAATTTTGCAATTATGCAGTGCTGCCTATAAAGGTAGATAAAATAATCTAATATTGCAAATCATCTTCATAACTTAATAACTTTTCCTTGTCCCCATTTCAAATTTTCCATTTGGGGAGGGGGAGGAAGGAAACTCACTTTGCCTAAGACGTGTTTTAAAGTACTTAACTGCATGCTGCACACAAATGGCATCCACCCTTATTAAAACAATTGTATAGAGCAGCGGTTCTTAAACTTTCGATCGCCACGCCCCTTACCCCCTTTATGTATCAGGGGGACATTGTGGATTCCAAAGCTTTTGGAAATCCCTCCCTGACTTAATATTCTTGATTAAAATACAAGTTACAGTAGAGTTTCTTCATTGGGGACTATTTAGTAATCTAGTCTAGAGTAGCACATCTTTTCTTCCACGAGGCCTTTCAAAATCGTATGTAAAAGAGGGAAATCTCAACGTTACATGAAGGACTCCGTACACCCCAGGAGCCTATGGACTACAAGTTAAAAACCGCGGTTGTAATGGACAATATAAAAAAAAAATTTAGAAATACGTAAAATTTACACAGAAATTTGCTTTTATCTTGTCATACTTTGTGCTAATTTGAAATTGATTTGTTTATTTATAACTACTGGCCATAAATTAAAAAAAAATTCTTCAATCTAACATTTAATTTACACACATATATTTTATGAAACTTATTATAAGTATTGTTATATTCTGATGTGGAACCTTAGGACATTATGAATCAAAGTGACTGAATTTATGATAATTCTAGTTAAGGGGATTATCTGAAGATGTAGTTTTGCCTGATGAGAGGTTGATGTATTTGTTGAAAATGAAGATATGAAGAGGGTATAATACCAAACTCTACAGAGGTATATACTAAATACTGTGATACTACAGAGGCATAATATCAAAAATTATAATGAACAGCTGTGAAGTAAAAACTGGACCACCATTTTTTTTTTGTATTCGATATATATGATAGAATCAGATATCTTCCTCGATTTATTACAAACAAATTTGCATCAAAATGTATAGATATGAAGGTTACAAATCTAGAACTCCTGTTTTTTGTACCACATGAAATTATTTTTTATACCTTTGCTTATAAGAAATAATTGTTTTGAAACATTTCATTTAAAAACTTAATTGTAATTAAACTTTTAAAAAGGATTCATTAAAATAAATGTCATTGAAAAAAAATTGGGTTTCTAAATTGCTGCAGTTAATACCTGAGGTGCACATATCCAACATATACGAAGTGCATATTCCTCAACATAACCACGATAATTTTTTCCTTGCATTTTTGTACTTCTGACTATACTATAAGAAAAATAAAAAACTACAAAAAAATTCCTGTATTTAAAATATGTTAGGTCTGAAGAGATTTAAGAAAATTTATGAAATTATTAAAATTCCTCAGCTCAGTACCTATAAAATTATTCTTCAGAAATGCAAGAAAATAGACATTCTCTTTACATTGTTTAGTAATTTATCATCTTAAATTAATTGCCTCACGTCTTGGTGTCTTAGAAAATTTATCTAAGCTATCAAAAGTTTATTTATATATATAAAAAGAGAATTTTTTATAATGATGAGAGGGGAGTAGGTGACCCTAAAGCCCAACTGTCTAACTCCGAGGGTTCCATACCTGAAAGGTAGTAACTCGAGCTTGCCGCGACACTTGTAGTCAGTGGCGTAACGGAGAATACTAGGGCCCTCCTGGAAAGTCAAATTTTGGCCCCCAAGCCGGATCATACAAAGGGTACGTACTTGGCGTCAGAGTCCGGTTTTGGGTCCCCTACAATTCTGGACCTCCGTAAAGCGGGGGTGTACGTTACGCCACTGATTGCAGTAGTCAGCCAGACACAAAATAGTAAAAAAATAATAAAAAACATTATAATCAGTTGGTTATTTTTTGATTACTAGGCTAACTCAATGTATAAGGGGATGAGAAGATAAATTATCTAATACAAAAATCAAATGACACTTATCTGTAAACATCAAACGATTTGCAGTTACTTTGACAATCAGTATCTAAATAAATTGAGTAGACAAATCGAATCCGACGCACATTGAAATCTGGATGTTGAATATTTCATGATTCTAACTCTTTTAATAGTAGGTAAATGATTAAATCTAGGTAAGGAATTGCTGATTGAATCAGTAAAAGCTCACACTAGTTATGTAAATCTTAGCTAGCTATTTTTACCCGAGCAAAACCCTCATTCTGTGTACCACAAATACTCTGTATTTTTCGTTTCCACTCTGTTGGAATTTGCATATTGTTATATATCTTATAATTTTGGATGTATAATTTGTATGGCAACGGTAAAACCGGATTGCTCTCGCTATTTATACTGGTGCATCTAACACCACAGTTTGAATGAATGTAAAAGTGAATGAATTGCGTTATTAAAGAAATGAACTGCTGAATGTGTGGTTGTTGGTATTTTATTCCTGGTACATTAAGTCCGGAAGAATAAACACACTCCAAGTAAGTACTAGACAAATTTTCCATAAAACTTCAAAAAAAAGAAGTTAGTTCTGCCAGGGAAACCTTGCAAGATAGCCCACTACAATTTTATTATTCTCAATTGTTAGCCAATATTTTTAATAACAAACAAAAAAACTACATATTATGCATAATTTTTTAAAACTTGATCATAGAATAATATTTATAACAAAAACCAAATTTTTTATCTTCACAATAAGGATGTAATTTACACTTATATCCTCAAATTAATGAAAATTTAGAGCCACGCGGAAATTGAACTCTAAAAAATATATATACGTATATCACCCGTAAAATGACTATACACATCTTCAAGACTCATACAAATTGCAGGAAGCCACCAGATCACACCGATACACACAATGACGAGAGTTTAGTGAGTGAGTGAATATTAACGTCACACTGTTCAGCTACACGAGGGCTTTTTGGTGACGGACCTAGTAATTTTTAACCATGGTCAAGTGACGAGGATGACACGTTAGCTGCCACCCCCTTCTCCTTACTACCACATCACTACAACGGGAGGACGTTTGAGCTCTCGACAGATTTAAATGACATGAGTGTAAGAGGGATATATATAAAGGGTGTTTTTTTAGAGGTATAGAAATTTAAATTGCAATAAAACAACGATGTATTATTCGACTGACATGAATTTTTTTATTCGAAAGATAATCTTGTGGCATTACATTTTAAATATGATTTCTGGCATATGACTACCATGGCTGGCTCG